GGTCTGACCGATTTAACACCTCATCCGTACTGACACGGGAGTTAAAAACGATTTGGCTTTACTAGTGGGAGAGCATCCCGGCCAGTTAAGCCGGACGTTTTGAAGGAAAACTCAAGGTTTGCCTATCCACACGGGGCGTTGAGCCATTGTGGAAACAGGTCAGCCTTAAAGTCTTCCCGGCTGACTATCCAGTCTTTCGAAAAGACTTGGGTAAAATTGTATTCTAAGCCGGGTAAATAAAGCCGGGCTGTTATTTATTAATCTAAAGGGTTAAAGAATCCAAGATGAAGAGAAATGATGAGAAATGATAACATAAAGCATATTTTCATTAATATGTCAATGAAATACAAAAGTGCCCGGAGGCAGACCATTACATCATATAAAAAAAAGAGAGAAAATCAGATGAGGAAGGAAGGCCGGACGGATCAGATGCCCGGGAAGGGAGGTTCAGGCGCCTCGGAGTGCAGCTCGGGCAGAGAAAGAGCCTTTGGCTGAAAACTTTGGATCATCTGCTGAAGGATGCCATAGAGGGCCTTCCGCTCCGAGTACTGGCCGCTTTCAAAGCCATACGTTCCGATTTCGTCGACGATCCCGGCCGAGACCTCGTACTTGTACAAGCCTTGGAAGAAGCGGATGGCAGTCTCCCGGTCAGGCAACGCCTTAGCAGCAAACTCCTCAGGCGTTTGAGTGGCCCAGGCAGCAGCAAGGGCGGCACGCTCCGATTGCTCTTTCTGCAGCTCATCTTCCAGCCGAGCGATTTCCTCGGCTGACTGGGCATTTTCGGCCTCCAGCTGATTGATCTTGGCCTGGGCCTGCTCATCGGCCTCTTTCGCAGCCTTGAGGAGACCATCGTGCTTGGCATAGAGCTGGCGGTAAACCGCACAGTGCTCTGTCCATTTGGCCTCTATCTTCTCTGCCTTGGCCCGGGCAGCCTGGGCTTCCTTCCAGCATTCGACCATCATGGCCTCCATCCGGGCCTTCTCCTCATCCATCGACTTCACCAGCCGGGCGAAGTACTCCTCCCCGATCCGGCCGACCTGCTTCAAAGACATCGAAAATTACTCAGAAAAGTATAAAAACGGTAAGTAGGCGGTGGGAGAGGAAAAGGGGTTACCTCATTCAGATCAGCACGGAATGCTCAGAAGAGCTCCTCGTTTGACCTGGACATTAGAGCCAGAGAACGAGGCACTATCGGCCCCTTGCCGGCGTCGGAGGACTGGGCCCCCTGATGGGAAGGCTGGTTGACTTCCTCAGTCTTCCGCTTCTTCCGTTGAAGGGACCCCCAGAAGTCTCCTCCTTGGCGTCCCTTTCCTCATTGGGCCGGTCTCCCACCCCCGCCTGGGACGTATGCCCAGTCTCACCCATCAGATTGTCGAACTCGAAGGTGTCTACGTTGAAGTAGATCTCCCCCGAGTGAATCGGCTGGCTGGTCCCTTGGTGAGACTGGGCCGGCAGATCATCCATCAAGAGTGGTTGGCTGGATGGAGGAGTGAGTGGCTGAGCGGAGGAGGGCTCCTCAACCACGATTTGGGGGACGGCAAACTTGGATTGAAACTTCACCACTGAAACAAAAAAAAGGAACCGGTTAGAAGAATGCAGTTGAGAACAAATTAATTCAAATGAAAAATGAGAAGGGCGGTTGATTGACCTTCCTCCTTCTTCTTCTTCGCCGGGCATGAAGGACCGGCATTGGTAGTGGCCGGGGCTTTGGATCCCCTCGCCTGACGGATGGGGATGGCTTCGGGGATCACCCCGGGCAGAACAATCTCCGGTTCGGGGTCGGTCTCCCGGCCGGGGTAGACGCTCCACTTCCCAACATGGTACAGACCGCGGGTGGAGGCATCCCCGGCCCGGAGAGTGGCTTCCCAAGCAACCAGGTCATCGGCCTCCGCTGGTTTGACCTGGCGCTTCATTCTTTTCCCCCAGACGTTTTGGGCAAAAGGAAAGGCACCCGGGGGGAATTTGACGCAGACATATTTGTCTTTCCACTTCTTGTTGGAGGGTGGAAGACCACAAAGGAATGCTCGACCTTGGTGGGAAGACACCACCACGAATCCAAGGGTTTCCTTGGACCCGGGC